GAAAACTGCAGCTTTAAGAAGCTCACCTTAGCCGGGCTTGTAAATCTTTCCAATAAATTCCCTTTGGTGCCGGGCTGTGGTGGTGCACGCCTTTAATCCCAACAGTTGGAAGGCACTCAACCAAAATTTACCAAAAGTCATTCCATCTTGTTTAAAAAAAAGAAAAATGTGCTTTAAAGCAAGCATGTCTTCGAGCACTAGCTGTGGTAAGACGCTTAGAACGTAAACTCGTAGATCTTTGAAAAGGCTAAAGTGGGGTCAGGAGGCTGGGAGGACAACCGACCATACCTTAGTTTCTCTTCATTAGAATGAGACAGAGCTGAGCAAGCAGGTGTCATGAAAACCACAATTTATGGGTGACCCCCATAAGCCCATCTCAGCAGACCCAAAATCTTTTCTGCTAGCTCAGCAAGCCCTCAAAGCCCTTCTGCTAGCTCAGATGTCCCTCCCCCCATCCCACCCCACCCCCATCCCACCCCACCCCCTCCCCTAGACTTCTGCAGGCTAAAGATTGCTTTCCCTACCCTGATGCTGGAAGGTCCCTAACCAGTAGGTCCTTCCAAACACCAGCCCCAGATTAATCCCTCCTCTCTGGAATTCCCCTAATTCCGCATTTTAAAAGGATCTTGGGAGCTTCTCTGGGGGTTGCCACGTGCCACCCCAAGCTTGGAATTAACAAAACGCTGTCGTTACTGCATTCGTGACTGTTGGTGTTCTTTGGGGGCTTCTCTCGGACTCTAACATCTTTGCTTTTGATTTAGTAAACTGAGCAACGTGCTAGCAAATTGAAAAGTATTGAGACTTTCCAAATTTACTGTGAAATGCACGGATATGTAAACGAGGAGTTACCGATCGAAACTCTGATTGGACCGAAAAAGACAGTAGACTAAAGAGTGTAAAAAAAAAATTCTAAAACCTTGTGAGGAGGTTGAGAGAAATGACTATTTAGCAGATCTAGGTTGCTTCGCAACTGTAAATTGTAATTTTGTATCCTAAGGGTTCTTTGTGTAATTACCATTACACGTCTATATCGTAATTTGAAAATAAATTTTAACTTCCTTGTTTACCTGAAATTAAGGAAAGGAACTCTGTAACGTGAGTAGGAGCAAAGGATTAGCTCTGTACCGAAGCCTCAGATCTCCGCGGAAGGAAATTCCTCGGAATTTTTTTATTTGGTCACAAAGGACTCCTGAAACCCCGCGCCGCCATCTTTTCGGAGGTTTTAGACTGGAGACGCTTTCTCGCTATGCCCCAACACATTTTGTAAATTGACAGCGACTGTACTGACGTATCTCGAAAGAAATTTAACTTATATTCTTAAGTCAGAAGAAAGTACATTCTGACAATTTCTGTGGCGACACCAACACGTGTAAAACGTGGAAAGTTTTTCTTGAGCTGAGCATGGTTCCGGGATCCAGGGGGTGGAAAGCAGAGCCTCACGCATGTGGTTATCGCCGCCAAATAAAGGATATAAGCAATTCTGAAACATGTGTATGGGAAATAACAACTGGAGATTATTAGACAGAAAAAATGGCAGAGTTAAGAAAAGTGGCTAGGCTAAAATTCTGGGGAACTTTATTCTTGGAGAATGTTGTGTGTATAACATGTCAAGTTCCCAAACAGAAAAAACTACGTTCGTCAGTGAAGAGCGTCCGCACTTAAGAGTTTAAAAAAAAAAAAAAAAAAAAAAAAAAAAAAAAGACAGCTTGTTTAAGGGGGCGGGCTTATCATTGGAATTTAGCAATCACAAGAATTGGCCAATCGTCAATCCCTAGAAACACTTCCGCAAACGCCGACGGAAGCCTAAGAGCTGCTGGACGAGATCCAATCAGAGCAACGCGTTTCCTGTATAAATACCAGGGCCGCGCGCTCTTCCTCCCGCTTCTTGTTCACTATGGCTCGTACTAAGCAGACCGCTCGCAAGTCCACCGGCGGCAAGGCCCCGCGGAAGCAGCTGGCCACTAAAGCCGCCCGCAAGAGCGCCCCGGCCACCGGCGGCGTGAAGAAGCCGCACCGCTACCGGCCCGGCACCGTGGCGCTGCGCGAGATCCGGCGCTACCAGAAGTCGACCGAGCTGCTGATCCGCAAGCTGCCGTTCCAGCGTCTGGTGCGCGAGATCGCGCAGGATTTCAAGACCGACCTGCGCTTCCAGAGCTCGGCCGTCATGGCTCTGCAGGAGGCCAGCGAGGCCTACCTGGTGGGTCTGTTTGAGGACACCAACCTGTGCGCCATCCACGCCAAGCGCGTCACCATCATGCCCAAGGACATCCAGCTGGCCCGCCGCATCCGCGGGGAGAGGGCTTGAGCACATTTCCTACATTGGCACGTGATCAACTAAAAAGGCTCTTTTAAGAGCCAACTCCCATTATCTACAAAAGGTGCTGTAGTGCCTGTGAGCCTTAGTAGGCAGGACTTACGCGGGTATTTTTCCGTATTTCGTACCTTTTCTTAGAATACTGCTGTACGTATAACCAGGATGTCCTGTACCTGGTGCTCTCTTCTGGCCTACAGGCATACACACAGATAGAACAATAGATGTGCAAAATGTAAGATACCTGTAATCCCAGAACCTGAGAAGTGGGGGGAGGATAAAAATTCATGGTTACCCTTACTTAGAGCTATAATGAGTTTAAGACTATCATGGGATAAGTGACAAAGACCTGCCTCAGAAACTCAAAACTGGGCTTTGTCACCTTTAAACCCCAGAACTGGTAAGCAAAGGCTGGACAATCTCTATGCATCAGCTTAGTCTATACCAGGCGATACATATAGGCAAGGCTAGGATACATAGTGAGACCCTGCCTCGAATTAAAATAAAATGAAATAAAATATAACATTTTTTTTCCCACCAAGACAGGGTTTCTCTGTAGCTTTGAAGCCTATCCTGGAACTAGCTCTCGTAGACCACACTGGCCTTGAACTCAGGGAGATCCGCCTGCCTCTGCCTCCCAAGTGCTGGGATTAAAGATGTGAGCCACCACTTTAGACCAAAAATATTTTCAATAAAAGAAATATAATGAATTAAGTATGAGCTTCAGAAATAAAAGTTCTTACCTGCGGTTCTCCTCTCTACCTCCTCCTAAGACAAGGGTTAGGAAATAGGATCTACCCTTCCCCGGTGTAGGAAAACCAGAGCTAGTTTTCGCAAAGTACGCAGTAATTACTAAACATCATCTTCACCAACCTTTTAGTCTTGCAGCTGACACCACTAATGATGAAGATGATAACGATAATTTTAAAAATCCGCAAACCATATTTGTCGACCACAACACCGCATCATTCATAACGAAGCTCTGCCCAGCCCGACAGAAGGCTGCCGCGTGGAGGCAAAAAAGAATGAGGAAGAGGCCTGGCTGGGCTTCCTTACAGAGCACACCAGAAGCAATTCCATATGCTTTCCCTCCGATCATATTTCTACAGTGATGCACGGTAGCGCTTTCCTCCCCTCCTCACTGGAGCAGGAGCAGGTGTTCAAAAACACCAAAAGCCTGAGACATTCCTCCCGAGCCCGTCATTTGGATGGCACCTAGGTAACTAAGCAAACAATCATTAGCCCTGTGTGTATGAACTTTCCTTCCACCAGAGTCAGGTTTAAAGTGGTCTTAAAATAGAGAACATACAGTTCCATATAATTGTGTCCCTATCATTATTAGAGTATTTTATATGGCCATGATAGATTTAAAAAAAAAAAAAAAAAAAAGCCTACTGGGCAATCCACAAATAGCCAGAAATTTTATCTTACAGAAATGGTAGCCAAAATGCAAGAAAATTCAGGAATACCTTTTAATTATTTTTTTCCACATTCTAATGCATTCACACATTGTAAATATTGACATTTCACATATGGGCATTTCTCTATTGTGTAGATATCGCTTAAATTTGGAGTTACATGCTTCAGAAGAAAAGGGAGTAGATAATAAACTAGGCCATAAAGAAAAGGGTCAGAAAAATATCCCCATTGTCTTCGCATACAGTATAATATAGGTTGATATATGTAATTTAAATCTCTAAATCCAATTGATACCAGACAGTATTCTATTCAGTTCATGGGACTTTATAAATTCAATCAAATGCACATTCACAGAGGGAAACAAGAGTAAAGAAAGATGAGCCTACCTCTGCCTCCTGAGCGGTGGATTAAAGGATATGAACAGGGCCACTGGGTCTCGTCCCGCTGAATACTTGCTCAACAGTACACAACTTCGAATGGCTGTGAAACAGGGTTTCTCTGCCCTGCAGCTTTAGAGCCTGTCCTGGAACTAGCTCTTGTAGACCAGGCTGGCCTCGAACTCACAGAGATTCTCCTGCCTCTGCCTCCCAAGTGCTGGGATTAAAGGCCAGTGCCACCACTACCCGGCTAAATGTACATTCATAAAACAATGATTTTTAAGTACTTAAAGTATGCAAAATAAGAAAAATTGTTACTAGCCTTTATATTAATTAGGTTTGCAAACTTGGTCTCTCCGCAAGTCCAACGTATTGGAATAACCGGAGAGCCAGGGCTCGATTAAAATTGGGTTTTTATAGTAGTAAAGGTGGGGGTGAGGGGTTTCTGAAGTTCAGGAGCTCTGATTGGCTGACATCTGTCTAAGAGTGTCCTGTTGAGTGTGTGCTGGCAGGTGATCCTATCCACAAAGGTTGGAATGCCAGACATTTCCTTTGCTTGGTGTGTTCTTGGGTGGAGGTCGGGTAATCTCAGCTTGTGGTTCCGCCTGTAACCAGGCATTGCCTCAGGGTAAAATACTGAGACACCGGGCTCTTATTAAATTTATCAATGGCAGAATTCTACTCTGGCAAAGAACATCCTTTGGGTGACCTGTCCATATTTAGCTTATCATGGCTGGCCCCCATATTAACGACATCAGATACCTCCTGCAGCAGATAGGAAGAACACCCAGAATACCAACTTCATTTGGAGACACTATAACTGCAGAATATTCTGGGTTGGGTTTTTTTGTTGTTGGTTTTTTTTTTTTTTTTGGTTGTTTTTTTTTTTTTTTCAAGACAGGGTTTCTCTGTAGCTTTGAAGCCAGTCCTGGAACTAGCTTTGTAGACCAGGCTGGTCTCGAACTCACAGAGATCCGCCTGCCTCTGCCTCCCGAGTGCAGGGATTAAAGGTGTGTGCCACCATCGCCCTGCTTGCAGAGTTTAAAAGCATCTGATTACACAGACTATGTCACAGGCACATTAAATTTAATAGGAAGCTACCCATCCTTTAAAATTAATTTTTAATTACATGAAATTATTCAAATTCAGCGCCTATCACTACAGTTTAACTATATCTGGTGTGTGTGTGTGTGTGTGTGTGTGTGTGTGTGTTAGAAGTCAAAAAACATCTTTCAGATATCTGATTCCATCGTATGGGTCCCGGGATTGAACTCAGGTCTTCACTATTGTCTACAAGATTCTTTACCTACTGAACCATCTTCTAAGGGGTCCACTATTCATTTAAGGAAATGCTAGGCTGAAATGTAGGCTTATAAGAATACACATGTGATTGTCAGGGACAAGCCTCAACAAAGACACTTCTTGCCAGGTTAGAGGCATGGGGATTTAGAAAATATTAGTAAACAATATGAAGATGTGAATGAAAATAATAAAATGGAGAAACAGAATGGTACCAGAAGGGAATTCCGTGAGTACTAATACCCTGACCACAATCTAGACCAAAACGTTCTGTAGGCAAACCACGGAGTGGGTAAAATGCATGGTATAAAGGAACTGGACCCTTAGTTGGATCCGTAGACTTTTGAGGTGGGAACAGATCAACTTCTCTATTCCTGGAGAACAGGGTCTGGATATTAGCCACACCTGTTGACTATAACCTTGAGAGAGCAGAATTCTCTGTTCTACCTGTAGGCACAATAACCCTGAAGGAACTGGAGATAAATTCGAACTCTCTGACCTTTGGTCAAAGTGGAAAAGGGCTCACATTTTTGGGCCCCCGCATTTAATAGCTGCAAGGCATGGGACCCGCATGCAGAAAGAAAACGGCGGCAAGTTGTCCTCCGACCGCACGAGTATGTATAATGGAAAAAAAATATATTTTTGACGTATTCAGTAATTTCTCGCTACCAGGAGCTCCATTAAAAGCATTTGTAGAATTTTTACATCAGGATGAAAAGAAAGCAGGCTCCCACCGGGGGTTGCAAAAGAAAAAAGAAAAAGAAAAAGAAACAAACCTTTACCTACAGTAATGAAATGGAAAAGACAACCCCAAATTCATTTCAGCTTTTTCCTCCCCTAACTTTGATAAATCCAGCTGAAAACCAGGCAGTCCACCAAAATGGTTTTTCCTTCTTCACATTGTCTGTCGCTCTGTTCACTAAAGAACAGGTAAGCTCAGAGCAACGCATGCGGAAGCAACGTGGCGTGTGAATTGCCAAAGGAGCTTCATTTTACTAAAACTTGGCATCAGGATGTTTAACACAGCTTACAAATTTAAGCAGTGACATGTGATCAGGCCCTGAACATTCAGATGGAGAGGCAATGGAGAAATAAAATTTCTTTCACCAACTTCCCAGCAAACAAAAACCAAAAAGCTTAGCATCTCAACCTTTCATACCCTGTGGACAGAAATCCAGGGCTATGGGAAAAGCAGTGTGGCGGGGAAGGAATAAAAATCCACCTTAAAGAGTACACAAACATACTTAAACAGAGATGATTGGTGCAACGCTTGCCACTCATAACTGACAGGATGCCCTGATTGGGTACTTCTCAAAACCAAGGTTTGTAGACAGATCAGAAAGGAAAGCTCAAAGACTCAGCTCCTGCAAGTAACCCCACTGTAGGATTGGTTTGCTAAAGATAATTAACCACGCCTAGGCGCCAGAAACAAGAGGACTTCCCGCCGACACTCTGCGTCTCAATTACTGCTTTTGCACAGAACAACCCCATCTGTTTAACATTAAACGAGCACTTCTACCCATATGCAGCCCAAAAGTATGGACTGGCACAGAATTGACTGCCTTGCTTCAGACTGTATAGCTGGTCTCAGCTGACCAATGCCACAAGAGGCCATGTATCACCCAGAAGAGTGCAGCTCTTTTGAATGACATCTGTGGGTGGCTCTGAAAAGAGCCGTTTGAGATTTTCAAAGTAGGACGCGCCACTTTTACTTCTTGCGGGGGGCGGCCTTCTTTGCCTTGGTTGCCTTCGGCTTGGCCGCCTTTGGCTTGGTGGCCTTAGGCTTGGGGGCTTTGGCTTTTGCTGGACTCTTGGCTGCTTTCTTGGGCTTAGCTGCCTTCACCTTTTTCGGGCTCTTGGAAACTTTCTTCGCGCCTGCAGCAGCCGCGGGCTTCTTCACCTTCTTCGGGGTCTTCTTGGCGGCCTTCTTGGGTGTGGCAGAACCGGTCGCCTTCTTGGGCTTCTTGGCTGCGCCCGCGGACTTCTTAGCCTTGGCAGCCCCGGTCTTCTTGGCTTTGGGCTTGGACTCGCCGGAAGCCGCCTTCTTGTTGAGCTTGAAGGAGCCGGAGGCGCCGGTGCCCTTGGTCTGCACCAGGGTGCCCTTGCTCACCAGGCTCTTGAGCCCCAGCTTGATGCGGCTGTTGTTCTTCTCCACATCGTAGCCGGCGGCCGCCAGCGCCTTCTTGAGCGCGGCCAGGGACACGCCGCTGCGCTCCTTGGATGCGGCCACGGCCTTGGTGATGAGTTCGGACACCGGGGGTCCGGACGCCTTGCGCTTCCCAGCAGCGGCGCCGGTCTTCTTTGCCTTCTTCTTCACAGGTGTCTTTTCCACAGGTGCGGGAGCAGCAGGCGCTGCAGGAGCGGTCTCAGACATGTTTAGTGCCTTTGCTAGAAAAGCCAAAAGTAAGAGCAAACTGTCAGAGAGGGCTGTTCCCACTGCTGAAGGCTCTGGGTTTATATAGAGAGAAGCTGCGTGGTGATTGGTTCCCTGCGCCGTGCGCCGCGCCGCCGGAGAAGGGATCTTCAGCTGTGCCCTGTGACTGTGTTTGTTGCCTGTTAAAAAAGAGTAAAAATATAAGAAATATGAGCACGAAATAATTGGGGGCTCGGGGGAAACTGATCCGGGAGCCTGTAGGCTTCATTCTTGCCATAATTTGTATGGCTAAATTCAAAATCGGCAGCCTGAAACATCTCTGATTGCCCCAACTCTCTTTCAAACTTCACGTAAATTGAGACAACTTTAAGGTTTTCCTTAAAAATACTATTACTCTCGCCATCATTCGCAAACTTTTCTTTCAGAACATGGTTCTGCACATTCTTATCGTTTCAAGATTATATAGATTAACTTATCTTTACTCAAATATGTGTGGAAATTCGGGTTTTTCGCGGAAGCAACAACACAGACACTCCCGGGGCCGTCTGCACCAAGCTCTAGGAATTGGAACTAGATGGGAAAGTTGTGCGTGCTTGGGGAATCATTATTGTATAAAATATCGATTGTTTTTTTAAGATATTTGAGATACCAATGTGTAATTTCGGCTCGATTTCCATGGTTTACTGATTTAACCGTTTTGGGGAGGTTGGATGAGTCTGTGCCGTTCCTGTTCTAGACCAGAGCTCTGAGCACGTTTCTTCAAAGTCAGTACAGCAGTGAAGAGCAGTTCACATTCATGGAAAAAAATAAACCTAGCTGAAGAAGCAACATAAGTTTAGCAACTGGAACCTGAGGATATAACCTGCCTTGACCCCTCATTCCTTGTTTAAAAAACACATGACTTCAGCACAGTTGTAAAGCTTTCCACTCCTGCCAAGCTTATCACTGCATTTCCTGCATGTTGCTGTGTTTCAAATACTGAAAAATAAGCAGAATTTGAAAAAGTTATGTTTCTGAATTTTTAAACTGGTTACTGATTTTATTACATATAGAATACAGTCTGTAACAAGCAACATTATTAGCTGGTTATATGTACCTGAGAACGTGAACATTTCAGAATAAGCATTAATGACTTGAAAACTCTTATTTCTGTTACTTTACAATGAAATGAAGGTGATATAGTTGGATTTTTATTGGATAATGAAGCAGAAAGGGAATATTCTCCATCAAATACTCATTTCACTGAAGACCCAAGTTTGTCAAGCAAATAAAAAAAAGTGCTTTGGTGTTATATTTTAATAATCTTTATGTTCACCAAATCTCATTATGGTGTAAAGTTAATGATTTAAAGATATCCTTAGGTTGTTAACACAAGACAGACTAGTCAATGCTAAAGATATCTTCTCTTCACACTTACTTACCTAACCACACACACCTAACAGGGCATGATGAAAAATGATCATTTATTTGGCAGAAACAAAAATAATCAAGTCTCTGGGCTATAAGAACATGTGATGATATAAGTCATTAAAATATATATGCTATGTACAGAATTGTTGAGCTGATCAGACTGGATCTAAACCACTCAGTGATTCGCTTATGTGGCATTTTTCGAGTACAGGGAAGGAGCTGTTCGTGTCATCTCTGGAGTCACTGTCCACAGCAGTCATCACCGGGAATATAGCAGTCCTTTCCTGTTTTATGTATACCTTTGCATTGCCTACACCTGTAGTCATGATTAAACTTCTAATTTGAAAATTCTCATAGCTGCATTCAATTCTGTGAACACGATAGCAGTTGCTTACTACTTACTTGCTTGCACAGTTAGCATATGTTACCATTTCATTCTTGCGCAAGTCTAACTGGGCACCGTGAATTTTTTAAATCCCCATACATTAGAACCACTAAATAGTGGTTCCTAATTTTTTGGTAATCTCTGATGCTCCTGGATGTAAGACATTACAGAGCACTTGACTTCACCAAGAAAACATCTATGTATTTACGGAGAGAGGTCATGCTGCGTGCAGTTAGCTTTGTGACTGCTGTAGCCTGGAATTTCTCATAACTACAATTAGCAAGAAGGAGGTTCTTAAACCCTGAATCAACCACAGGGACCACAAACTGGAAACCACGAGAGCCTTCACTCACTTTTCACTCGTTATTCTGGAGGGTAACATCGAAGAGACGGTTCTGTTGAATCCAAAATCTACTTATATCCTGAAAGAGCAGGTTATCCACTTTAGTAATCCTGGAACTGTTTCTATGGCGATTAAAAAGAGATAATAAAAAAAATTCCTAAGCTAAATGACAGCCATGAAACTTACGACTTCATCTTCTATCGATTTCGTGTTAGACAGACACACACAAATGTACACCATTTCCATAGAAACAGCTGAGAGATAGCAGTTTCATGATTTCTCCTACAGGACAATATATCTACAAAGAAGACTTCCAAATATCCAGTTGCCTTGCCCCGCCATACCCTTTCCCCTCATCTGTAATATCTCTTACATTTGGAGGCAGAATAGCTTCTAGTATACTTGCACAATATTCTAAACCTTCCTTGTCTTTAGAAAGCCCGGTCTCCCCTGTGTAATACATTCCCATCCACAACCTGCATAACTGAAACTGTGTTTAACAGGTTTCACAGGAAGGTCCACAGAGCTGGGGTAGTTGAGCTGCGATAGTGCAGCCTCACTGGGGAACTAGACAGTGGCTGGGAATATGCTGAGCTGTGCCACATCCGACCCCTCACCCGAATTTAGTTTCCCCTTAAGTGGCCTTTGAGTTCTTTAGGTGGGGGAGAGCATGCCACTTTATTGTTTAACCCTGGTGGCCTCACAGTTTGGGGATTCTGGCATTTACAGTCAATGGTTTGTATAACTGGTGCCTTTCTATAAAGGGATGTAAGAGATCTCTGGGGTTAATTGGGGTAAGGTAAATTCCAAGTACGTTCTGAGTGCTTGGGATTTCATATATATATATATATATATATATATATATATATATATATAATCTTCCATCATCACAGAAGTTTCTCAGGCAAGCACTAGCTAAAGCACATCTTCAAGATGACCTTCCTCTCCAGACAAGGTTGAGGCTCACGCCAGCACTACAGACGTAAGAAGGAAACTTGCCTCAGGTTTGATTTCCTTCTGGACTAGTGTGTATTACAAGACTCCACTGCCTCAAAAAAAAAAATCAAGAAATTATAATTACTTCTGTAGTGCAAAAAAGACACTGACCCAAATTGTGTGGCGGTGTGAGAAAACACACTCATGTATCAGACATAGCAGTGATGTGTGTACCACCTTACTTCAAACCAGGGATTACTGAAGTGTTACTTTACAGGATTTCCGTGTTCCTTTTGTTTAAACTGCAAGTGTTATTCACTGTTTTCTTGGCACAGACAAGGCCATGAAACATAGTATCCTCCCCTGGCAGCAATAGCTTTTATTAAAAGAGGAATAGATCTCCAGCAGGGGCGAGTCTTCATCTTTCCAGTTCAAACAGCATTTCATGAGATAGAAAACTCTGTGTGTGTGTGTGTGTGTACTGAATATATATTCAAAACATATATTATATATATGTATGTATGTATATGTATGTATTCAATCAATACCAGCTCCCTTCGTACGGATTTGAAAACGGAGCTTGTGCTGGTAAGTAGGCATCTAACAAAGGGAAATCTTCATGACAGGTCAGATTTAATAATACTTGCGAAAACTGAGACTTCACATTTTTCTAAATCTTTCACTTAAAAAGGTAATCTTATAGTATATGCTATGTCTGATTTTGTAGACAAGTGTATGGCCACAACCTCCTTTTTTACAAATGATGAGTGTTTAGCAGAACCCACAAGCACACTCCTGAAAGACACAGACTAGTGACTGAGAACTGCAAGAGGAAAGCAGGACTCACATTAACCCACACACCACAGAGCCTGTGTCTTCCTCTGGACAATAGGAGTCAGCCAGTGAGGTAGAGGGGGCGGATACTGAAGCACTTTCCCGCCCGCGCCTTTTCAGTTTCCTAAAAGGTCCGCAGTCCTCGTATATATAGCAGCTGTAGAGGGCGCCTGGGCAGCTTGAGTTTCATTCTCACAGCCCCATCACAATGTCTGGTCGCGGCAAAGGCGGGAAAGGCCTGGGCAAAGGCGGCGCCAAGCGCCACCGCAAGGTCCTGCGCGACAACATCCAGGGCATCACCAAGCCCGCCATCCGCCGCCTGGCCCGGCGCGGAGGAGTCAAGCGCATCTCCGGCCTCATCTACGAGGAGACCCGCGGGGTGCTGAAGGTGTTCCTGGAGAACGTGATCCGCGACGCCGTCACCTACACGGAGCACGCCAAGCGCAAGACCGTCACCGCCATGGACGTGGTCTATGCGCTCAAGCGCCAGGGCCGCACCCTCTATGGCTTCGGCGGCTGAACTGTTAGAGGTTCGCTTCCAATAAAGGCCCTTTTCAGGGCCACCCACTTTGTCCTGAAAAGAGCTTGCTGCATTTCTCATCGGGAAGTTTCTGAGAGGTTAACAGTTTGTTTTACAAACAAGCTGGGACTTTGACTCTAAGTATCGTTAGGCTCAAGCCGCGGGCAGGATGAGTGTTAATGCCAAGGTACGGAACTAAGCTTTAAAGACTGGAATATTACTCTGTAATATAAACTTTGTCTCTAAATATAAGGACCCCTGACTCACGAATGTCATGCTCAGTAGCTCACAGCCTGTTTTTTCCGTCTTTGGGCTCTGGTTTCTTTGGTTGTTCCACAATGAGGTAGGTAAGACGTCCAAGCCCCAAAAGAAAATACGATCAGCCATTAACCCTTTTATTCAGTCAGTACAGTACAGTGTCCAGAGAGGCCTTGGAATTGTACTCTTGGCTAAACTGAACACGTTTCTAAATTTTTTAAATGAAATTACCATATGTACATTTGTGGTTTTGTCTGCTTTCTTAGAACATAAGTGTTTTAGAGTCTACCCCTTGCTACTTGTACCAAGTAATGCCAGTCCAGTTAAAGAACCTAACACAAAAGGTTACCTCTA